ATAAATGATAACTTGCAGGGCTCGAATACTCCATAGGTCTATAAATTTCGTAAAAGTCCGTAAATTTGCTTAAAGTCCGTAAAAGTCAGTTTTTTTTTAAAAAAGCACTGCAAAAAGAAGTATCTTAATTTAAGATGTTCTGGTAGTCATTTCTAAGATGTTTTGGTAGATACTTTTTAGTTACTTGAAACATCTTAATTTAAGATGTTAAAAGTATCTTCGTACACATTTTCTATGGTATTTTTTAGGCAAAAAGTTTTGAGGTTAACTATGGGCTCTTATGGAAAACACTTTATATGTATCTTAGTTTTTAGTAACTTACACTTATGGCGCATCTTACGACTCTCAAGTAACTTATCGCTATAAACATCTTATTGCAACAGAAACATCTTAATTTAATAGATACTTTAAAGAGCATACAAAAGTATCTTACTTTTCTAAGATGGAAGAAATATCTTCATCACTGCTAAAACGTATAAAGCATCTTAAATATCAGTAAGATGCTTTATAAAATATCTTATTTTAAGATGTAAGATACCATTTTTCCATCTTACATCTTATTTTCAGATATCAAAAAAGACACCTATTTTTGCAGTGAGGTCCGTAAAGTCCGTAATTTGATTGAAAAAAGGACGAAAAGTTCGTAAATTATACGATATAATTTGGAGAGTTTTAGAGAAATTACAAATGATTGCAGAAATTTAATTTCATTTTTTTCAAAAGTAATAAAATTCAATTATGTTAAAAAATTTAAAAAAAATTCTGGTCAAAATTTCAATTATCTTTAAAAATAATAAAATTCTTCTCCAAAATTCAATTATTTCTAAAAATTTTCGTGAATTCAAACAATGATTTTCAATATCTAATATTTTAATAAAATTTTCCAAAAGAATTCAATTATTTAAAACAATAATTGTTGATATAATTCTACACTGAAAAAAATGATATTGTCGATTTTGTCATACTCTTATGGTTATACGTATTTCTGTTCTTCAAATACAGTATTGGTGTTCTTTACATACATATTACTGTCTCTCACATACATATAACTGTTCTACACTGCGTATGGCTGAAACAGCAATACTGTATGGCTGTTCCATATCCTCCAATATTAATGTGTGAGAATTGACCATATTTATTGGCAGTACCATAAATATATTTTTTTCAGTGTACGCAAACATTTAATTATTATTTTCTTATACCCATACAGCACATGATATTTCCTAAATATTTCCTGAATATTTCACTGAAAGATTGAAATATTTCAGTGCAAGGTTCTTGAAATATTTCTGCAAACAGGAAAATGTCCGCTTCTGTGGAAATATTGACGCGAAAGTTGAGAAAATATTTCATTGAAATATTCCTGCAATATTATACATAAAGATTCTGCAATATTGTGAAAATATTTCGGTGGAAAAAATTAAAAAATTTGTTAAACACCTGAAACCAATAGGAATTTTCTGAAATATTTTAAAACCCATAGGATATAGTAAGCCAAAAACTACTGCGCAGCTCATCTACAGGCCATAGAAACTGAGTTCGACCAGTGCGCATCATTTCAGTTGAATATTTCCAAAATATTTCAATGAAATATATTCTCAACTTTTGCCTCAATGTTTCCACATAGGCGGACATTTTCCTGTTTGCAGAAATATTTCAAGGACCTTGCACTGAAATATTTCAATCTTTCAGTGAAATATTCAGGAAATATTTAGGAAATATCATGTGCTGTTTGGGTAGAGGAGAACGGGGCGAGGCAGCCAAGACGTCACATTTTGGTTTGCGAGGCAGTTATTTAAATAGGTTTTTTCAATTTTAATATCGCGTTAGAAAGCTTGTCTTTTTGGCTAAAAAATCGCCATAGAACATTTTGACGTAGGTTGCACTTAAAAATTTCTACAACTCTTTTCCCAAAGGACCACATTTTGGCATATTTGCAAAAACGTGGGGTGAGGCGGCCGCAACTATTTTAATAGTTAAAAAAACATAACTTAAAGTTAAAATTAATGAAACATAACAAGGTAGTTGTACTTAACTTACTTTTATTTTGTTAGTAAACTTCAAAAATTTACATTTGAATAATATTATAATAATAACATTAATTAAATTCAATTTAACATTTTAAGGAAATATAAATTTGTTATTCTTAAAAAATGGTTTATAAAATTCAATGTTAACTTTAAAATGTATTGGAGTAGGAAAAAAGAGAAAACATTTAGAAGAACCAATAAAATCAACACAAAAAGACGAAAAATTTAGCGTTGGCTGCCTAACCCCACGAGTACTTTTTTAAGAAAACATTCACAAAACCCGTAATATTAAAAATATCGCAATTCTATTAACACCATCGTCTTCGGCACTAAATTCTGCATTGAAAATCACTATACAAGAATTTTATTCGTGTAACTCTATTAACTAAAATCACCAAAATAACTCTTAGAAAAGTTACATCCAAAAAGTCTGTTTTCATACATGATACTGTCATTGCTAAACTGCTGCAGCAATAATGCCCATCTGTTAGCAACTAAAGTAAACTACCATAAGCAGTCTACATTATCAATAGCGCACGATTTGAAAAAATTATGCGGAGATAAGAAGCAATTGGCTGCCTCGCCCCGTTCTCCTCTAAATAATAAAAATTTCACAGAAATTCAATTATTTTCAAATAAAATTTTTAAAAGGATTCAATTATTTTCGTAAATAATAAAATTCTTTTTAGGAATTCAATTATTTTCATAAATAATAAAACTCATTGCAGAATTTCAATTAATTTAAATACAATTTTAATCGAATTCCTTGAAAAATGTAATTATTCTTAAAAATTTTATTATTGTTTCTCAAAAGAAATCAATTATTTAAAAATTTGTTGATAAAATACTATATGAGATTTAAATTTCAAGAAACATTCAATTATTCAATAAATTATTTTTTTTGTATTTAAATAATTGAATTCTAGTAGAATTTTCTAATAAAAATTGATTTGAAAATGAATTTTAGTTTAAATTTTAAATAATAATTAAATATTAAAAGCATTATAGCGTAAATTTTTTAAATAATTAAGAGTTTGAAAAGCGTTTCAAAATATAATCTTTAAATATCTGAATTTTGCATATTTTTAACTTCTCAAAGAACTTTTTCAAGAATTCTTAAAAATAATGGATTTATGAAAGAATTTTTGTTAAAAGCACTAAAAACTAAATTTAATTTTGGAGAAATTACAAATTATTGCAGAAATTCAAATATTTTTAAGAGCAATAAATTTCTTCGCAGAAATTTAATTATAGGTATTCTAAAATAGTAAAATTCTTTTTAGAAATTAAATTTTTTTCACAAATAATAAAACTCATCGCAGAATGTTAATTATTTTTAATACAATTTTAATCATATTTCTTGAAAAATGTATTTATTCTTAAAAATCTTACACTGTAAAAAAAGGGAGTTAAATTTCAACTCCCCCGGGGGGTCTATAAAAGTCGCACCCATTGGGGAGTTAATGCCAGGGGAGTTAAATAAAGAGAGTTAAAATTTCACACCCAAATGCTAACTCCCGAGTCCGTTAACTCCCTAAATTTTTTACAGTGTATTAAAATTCGTCCAAAGAATTTAATTATTTTAAAAATCATTCAATAAATTATTTATTTTTGTACTTAAATAATTTAATTCTTAGAAGAATTTTGTAATAAAAATTAATTTAAAGATGAATTTCAGTTAAAATTTTAAATAATAATTGAATATTAAAAGCAATATAGCGTGAATTTTTAGAAATAATTGAATTTTGAAATAAATTTTTTTTTAAAAAGTTTAATTGAATATTTTTTTTACATTATTAGAAGTTTTTATTTTTTAATATATATTTAATTAAAGAATTTATGAATAATTGAAAGTAGAAATATTACTATTTGAATTAGTGACTGATTTTCTGCTTCTAAATCATTTATATTTTTAACTAATTCATATTTAGAGAGTAAACAAATGTATTTGAAAATTCTTAAAAAAACTTAATCGAAAATTATTAAAAATAGTTGATTTAGAGAAGAATTTTAGTTAAAAATTCTTGAAAATATTTTTGAAGATATGTATTTATTGCTCGTATTTACTAACATCAGTTAATAAATAGAATATTATTTTTATTGCTTATTAAAAATTGAATGTCCGCTTTTTAAGAATTTTTGTTTGAAATTTAAATAAAGACATTGACCAAAATAATTATAGTAATTTTATTTAGTTTTTCTTTCTTTATATCTCATTCTTCTTTTTTTCTTTCTTTTTCCATTTTTTTCCTCTTTTCTCTAACTTGTTTCTTACTTTTTGAATTTCGAGGCTTTTCATTGATTTCTGAAATTCCCAGACGTGGACTAATATTGGCCCAATCTTGCGGTGGAATTGCTCCCCCAAGATTGGTTCAATTTTACGCGAAATTGTATATTTTTTTCGTAACCGTATACCATTGAATGGGCGGGAAGAAGTTGAACAGAAAAATTTCCACAAATGAAAATGAAACCTACTTGACTATTTATACCTTATTTACCTTGTACCATTATAATTTTTGTTTTACTACTTTCTCTATATATATATAAAACTAGAAAGCTTGGGCGAATTGAGAGCAGTGTTTTTTCATCTGCAAAACGCGATTACCGGGGAAAATGAATTGCTAAGCCGAGAATTGTGGATTGAGGACTGCGGTGGGAGAAAGGAAGACGAATAAGAAGAAGAGGAGGAGGAGGAGAGGAATGGTGGATTATTGAAGTGTTCTCATTTTAAGAGGACTCTGACTTTGCTATAACGTATCTCGTACATTTTGTGTTTCTTTTTTATTTTTTACTTTCTACGTGAAAATTACACGAGATAGAGTTCGTTGGTGGGGAAAAGGGAGAATAAAAAAGAAGAATGAGCAAAGTATTGTGAAAGAAGACGAGGGATGGAAAAAAACGCACAGAGACAAGATGAAGGGACGAGGGAGGGATGAAGAAGGATCGATATGAAAAAGAAGACTCACTCACCGACTTGAGTCCGCCCTCGAGGGCCATGAAGGCGAAAGCTCCGAGTAACGTGTAACCAAGTACGAGAATGCAAACGCCAAGACTCGCAAGAAAACCTGGTGTTTTTGTTGACGTTGAGTTGCTGCAGCTGCAACAACAGCAAAGCAATTCCGCGCCACCACGAGTTCCACCACCAGCACCACCACCTCCTGTATTTGAAAGTTTGATTCTGTCCGTTCCTGATGATGATGAAATTGACCGATTTGGCGGACAGCATCTCGGCGCACGTTGATAATAATCGCCGGCCACGTTCTGCATCGCCGATTTCTTTTAGGATTGTGTTGATTTTGTGCTGGCGCTGCAATTGCTGGCCGCAGTTGCAGGGACCGCTGCATGTGCAGTCGCCGCAGCTGCAGCTGCAGCTAGCAGCTTTTCTAGCGACCACAGATCTCCGCTGTCGACCTTTTTTCTTCCTCCATTGGCAGTGTGCGATTCTGTAACATAAATATTTCATTCATTTTTTTCTATATGAATTATTCGACTTTTTTATATTTGAAAATAATTTTATTTTAAATTTAATTAGGGGAAAGGCTTGCAGGTTGTTATACCTAAGCTTTTTTGTTCATAACTCATTAAAAAAAAAATAATTAATAATTTATACGAACATACCATCGGAAAGAGGACCTAAAAAGCTACAAATTTGACCTACAGATAATTCAAATTGTCAAAAAATAAAATGTTTACATCAAATTTTAAAAATGATGTAAAATCAACGTTTCGAAATTTAGGCTTGCAGGTTGACCCACCTTGAAAAATTGATAATAATATGGAACAACTCCTATAAATTTATTAAATTTCACTTACATTTAATGTTTTTGAACATTAAATAAATTTTTTAAACAATTTATTAATAAATAAAATTTTTTTTAAATAAAAAATATTTTTGAAAAATAAAATTTTTTTTTCAATTGAAAATTAAATGAAAAGCAAGATATGTGAAAAAAAAACTGAAATTTCGGAAATCGTGTAAATTTACTTCAAATTATCATTGCGGATTCGCATTTTGGACCTGCAAACCGTAAAGTGAGTCAACCTGCAATTTTGAACTCAATTTTTAAATCGAAGAAAAAAATATTAATTCATGATATTTTAAAAATTCCTTTTGGATTATCAAAATTGATTAAAAAAGCAACTCAGAAAAAAATTGTAACTTAAATTATCCATCAAAATATTTCATTTGTAAGCAAATGATAAAGTCACATTTTTAATTCTTCAACTTTCCACAAGTCAATTTCAGAATTTGTTTTACAATAACATTTTTATTGCTTCTTTTTGCTCCAAAAGATCATAAAAAGTAATAACTAATCATTTGACAACAATATCAGTCGCGTTTTTAATTATGGCATTTCTACAATAAAAAATAACGCAAGTGCGACAACCTGCTAGCCGGACAACTTGCAAGCCTTTCCCTTATTATTCTTGAAAATCAACTTTTAAACAATTTTAATTGGAAATTTTTGAAATTATTAAATTAATTTTAATTTTTTAAAATTCAATTATTTTAAAGATTTTTAATTACATATATTTCCAAAAATTCAAATGCAGACAATAAAAATAATAACATTAAAATTGTTGAAAATCATTTTTAACATTTTGGTTAAAAAAATCATGTTCAAAATATTTCATTAAAATTCATCAAAAAATGAATTACCTTTTTTTAATAATATAAAAACTCTTTTAAGAAATTCAATTGTTTTGGAAAAATTACATTAAAATATTTTTAAAAACTACTTAATTCTTAGCATTTTTTTATATAGTAATTATTTCAAATTTAACTGTCTTCGAATAAAGCAAAAAAGAATTTACTTTTTTGGACTTGTTAAAATTTTGGAGAAATCATGGTCATATTTATAATTAAAATTCTTCAAAAATTTTATTATTTTAATTTTTGAAAATATTATACCTTAATAAACTTAAGAAAAAACTTGGACAGTTACAATTATTATAAAAAATTGAATTTTCGTATTCAAATAATTTAATTCTCGAAGAACTTTTAGAAAATTATTTAAAATACATAATTGATTTAAAGATGAAGTTTATAGTTGAAAATTATATAGAAAATAATTGAATGCGGGAAGGGTTATAATTGTAATTTTTTAGAAATGATTAAATTTCATAAATTTTCTTCATTTTCCGTAAACTTTCATATTTTCCTGTGAAAAGAATTTTGTCAGGGAAAATAATTTTAATGTCAGTAAATTGTCAGGGAAATGTCTGGGAAATTGATAAACTGAATCTTGTGACCACCCCCGTGTAGAAATTTAGCGTGGAAGTGTATGAGAAACTGTCCAGTTGCGCTAGATTCAATCTAGCAACTAGATGGGAAAAATGGACAGGCTTGAACGAGGGATGTAACGCTAGCAACGTCAAGATTTTGTACAGTTATTTTGTCTAGTCCTTGTCTAGTAAAATAAATCATTCCTAGCCAGTTCCTGGATATTAAAATAAGCAGTTTCTACATACTGGGCATAATTTTTAGGTTTATAAATAATAAAAAAATATTTTTCAACTTTACTCTTTTGTTTGTTTAACTTTTAAACAAACAAAAGAGTAATACAAAAGTATTTGTTATTATCACAATTTCTCTTACAATTATTTTTGAAATTAATTGTAACATATTTTGCTACATTGTATTTTTTCTTTAAAACACAAACACATTCACTATAAAGATTCGTACTTGTATACCGATAATAAAATTAATTGTATATTATATTGTTGCAATCACAAAAAATTCACTTAAAATTACCAAAGTTTTATTCCCAGGAGGAAAAGTCGGACGAATGTCGGAGTTTACAACCGCCTGGGATCCGCGCCCGTGCGGACCGCCAGTACCGATGTTTTGTACCGATTCGGATCCCAAAATTCAACCGGCGCGGAACAGAATCAAGTTGAAGTCCACAACGTTGATCAACGAAAAAGAATTTTTCACTAAGTAAATTAATTAAAAATTACGCAGCAATATTGACACAAAAATATTTAGAAAAGAAAGATTGATGTTTACGCTTTTGATAATAATTATTTTACAATCAAATATTCAATTAAAAATAATACTTGATTGCATTAAATAAATTTTTTTCGTTGATCAACATTGTGGACTTCAACTTCGTCGGAACAGATTAGGCTTCGACTTTCGGATCCGCCTTTCTACTTTCGTCAGTACTGGCGCGGTACTGGATTTGTTCCGCCTGCGGATTTCATTCTTCTACGGGCGTCGGAAGAATGACGGATGTTAGGTCTGTACTGGCTCGGTGCTAGGGCGGATCCGACTGCAGATCTCGTCATTTATTGTTATAGTTCACATTATCAGTATAATCATAAATTTATTTTATTATATATATCATAACTAATTAATTATTACAATAACTAATTGCATTTATTATAATATTATTATTATTATTTAACCAATAAATAAATTAATTGTATTGATGCAAAGGAAGAATATAAAAAACTTAAATTTTTCATTATGTTTATAAAAATCCAACTTTATTAATGTGCAATTAAATAAATAATTTTTAATAAATAATATATTAACTTGAAAGAAAATGTGTTCAATATATAATAATACCTACAATAAATAACACAATAACACATTAAATAAATATATAAAAAACAGATTATTAATTAATTAATTTATTGTTAATTAATTAATAATCTCTTTTTAATTTAAACAATATATCAAGTAATTATTTATTGACACTTTTCTGCAAATTAAATAATTAAAAAAATGTGTTGTGCATTCAAATTTCATTCAATTATTAATAATTAAGTAATAAAATATTAAAAAATTTAATAATAAAATAACAATTTTAACAAGTTCCTTTTTAAACGAAATATTAAAATATTTTATTATTTATTGCCGCGTAGTAATTTTACAATTTTCATTTTAGCTAGTGAGACTTGAAAGCATTTAAGATTTGAGAGTTCCATGCGAGCGTAGCATAGGCGTAGGTTCGTACCTCCAAGCGTTAGGATTTTTCAAATGTGTATGTAATAAAAAATTGCGTTTAAGTGTATAAAGAAATAAAAAAATGTGATAAGTGAACTGTCAATGAATTGTCATCAGTATTTATCTTTTGCAATTAATTATTATTTTTTTATTGATATTTGTTGAAATTATCATTTTGATCCGAGCCGGTTGTCAGGCGGTAGAATGCCAGCATTGCCAGCGCACATCTGGCTAGGAAATGAAAGATCCGCAGTCGGTACAGTGCCGGGTCCCAGCCGGTTGAATTATACACGGAACGGCTCTTCGCGGCCGGTTACCGGGCGGTAGAATGCCAGTTCCGAGACGGATGGCCAGCCAGCTCCTGGCCAAGTCATCTTTCGGTAGAATACCAGTTCTCGGGCGGTAGGCAGGCGGTTCCCAGCCAGTACCACTACTCCGGCGTCGGTACAGGCGAGGATCCGCGCCGGTTGCAAATTTCCCACTGGGTTACTTATTATGAACATTATAATATGAAAAACAATCTGAGACTATGAATGATGACATCACATGTCCTTTTTCTAATAAATCTTCTTTTCGCTGTAATATATTTAAACTTGTACACTGTCCCTGTTCAGAAATGGAAAACTGAAAACTTTTCACTAGATTTATAAATTTGATTTTATCTTCACAACAAGATGAGTTACAATTGTAGACTGTTGGATTCTTTTCATCAAGCACTACGTCAAGAACTGATTTCGTCTGCTAGCTTAGTAGACTCTCAGAGCCACCTTCTCCACGAACTTGTACTAAATTCTTAAGTCAGCGTCCTAGACAGTGCCTAGCTAATTCCTGGACAACCTGCTATACGAACTTGTACTGAATTTTCAATTCAGTATCCTAGACAAATTTTAGCCAGATTCTAGACTGTCTTCATAGCGAAGAAAATAAAGGGGAAAACTGTACATTAACATTTCGGGGCCAGGACAGTTTTTTCAGAATAATTTTCCACGACAAATGCTATCTAGCTGTAGTCTATTTCTAGGAAGGCCACGACAAATTTCTACACGGGCCCTGTCTCTGTACTTCTTTCTATCTCTCACTCTCATTGTATTGTCTCTGTTCTTGTTTTTATTTCTCATATATAGGACGCTTAACCCTTTATTTCCTTTCTCTCTAATAGAAAATTCAAGTATTCCCAAGTTTGTCATTTGGTATTTAAAGAGCGCTTTTTTTATTCTTTAAGCGGAGGAAATTTTCAACTTGGCACTTATTCTCTCTCTCTCTCTCTCTCCCGCAGTGTGTAAAATTCGAAGGGAGTGAAATTTACACACCGGTGGGAGTACTTTTCGGATTTTATTTTTTCCGAATCTTTCTGTGACGAATTTTATACAAAAAAATATAAAGTTTTATCCTTTATCCCTTGAAAAAAGGGATAAAAAGGAAAAGAGTAAATTTGTTGTTACGTACAAAATAAAAGTTTTAAATAGTTTAGTGGATTTTTTATTTTTA